GAGCTGGAAAAGAAGTAAAACTATTTTTATTTGCAGATGATATAAGAGTATACATAGAAAAGGCTAAACTTAATTAATGAAGTCAGCAGGACTTCAGGACACAAGGTCAGTATATAAAATGCAATTGTACTTCAATATACTAGGAAATTTTTATATTTTGTATTTTTTCACAAGGAATATCATTTTATTACTGTAATCACAAAATCATAATTTTTGCATCTACAGAAATGCGTAAGGGGACATTAATCAGTGAGTTGATAATTCGCTTCATAAAGAGGGCAAACATACTACAGAATGTATTGTAAAGAAAACATGATTGTAAAATTCTCTGGCCTTGCAGTGCACTTTTTAGTGCAAGTATTTAAGACACAATAGTGTTCAATTAAGCAAAGTATATACTGGCAAATTAACAATAACATTAAAAAAACATAAAACAAGATTTTTTTAATGCTTAGTTATTTATTTTGAAAGAGAGAGAGGTGATGGGGCGCCTGGGTGGCGCAGTCGGTTAAGCGTCTGACTTCAGCCAGGTCACGATCTCGCGGTCCGTGAGTTCGAGCCCCGCGTCAGGCTCTGGGCTGATGGCTCAGAGCCTGGAGCCTGTTTCCGATTCTGTGTCTCCCTCTCTCTCTGCCCCTCCCCCGTTCATGCTCTGTCTCTCTCTGTCCCAAAAAATAAAATAAAAATGTGGAAAAAAATTAAAAAAAAAAATTTAAAAAAAAAAAAGAAAGAGAGAGAGGTGAGAGCATGTGCATGCAAGCTGGGGAGGTGTAGAGAGAGAGAGAACCAAGAGGGCTCCACACTGTCAACACAGAACCCAATGTGGGGCTGGAACCCAGGAACAATGAGATCTTGACCTGAGCTGAAATTAAGAGTTGGGCACTCAAATGACTGAGCCATACAGGTGCCCAAAACACAGGAATTTTTTAACAAAATATATATAGAATATGAGAACTACAAAACATTACTGAAACTAAAGAAGTCCTAATAAATAGGGGCGCCTGTGTGGCTCATTCGGTTGGGCGGCCGACTTCGGCTCAAGTCATGATCTTGTGGTGTGTGAGTTTGAGCCCCGTGTCAGGCTCTGTGCTGACAGCTCAGAGCCTACAGAGCCTGGAGCCAGCTTCAGATTCTGTGTTCCCCCCACCGCTGCCCCTCCCCCACTTGTGCTCTGTCTCACTGTCTCTCAAAAATAGATGTTAAAAAAATTTTTTTTAAATAAATAAATAAATAAATAAAGTGATAAACCATGTTTATGGACTGCAGATTCCTTATGTCCATTCTCCTAAAGTGAAATGTAGGTTCAAAGATCACAATCAAAATCTCAGCAGCCTTTTTGGAAGAGATTGACAAGTTTATTCTAAAATTTATATCAAAATGTAATGGCACTAAAAATGCTTTTGCACAGTGAAGGAAATCCTCAACCAGACAACAAGGCAGACTACTGAATGGGAGAAGTTATTTGCAAATGATATATCTGTTAAGGGGTTAATATCCAAAATTTATAAAGAACTTATACAACCTGACACCAAAGAAACAAATAATCCAGTTAAAATGGGCAGAGGACCTGAATAGATATTTTTCCTAAGCAGATATACAAATGGCCAACAGACACATGAAAACGTGTTCAACATCACTCATCATCAGGAAAATGCAAATCAAAACCACAACGAGATATCACCTCACACCTGTCAGAACAGCTAAAATAAAAAATATAAGAAATAACAAGCATTGGTGAGAATGTGGAGAAAAGGAACCCTCATGCATTGTTGGTGCAGCCACTGTGGAAAACAGTATGGAGGTACCTCTAAAAAATTAAAAATAGAATCACCATAAGATCCATTAATTCTACTACTGAGTATTTATCCAAAGAAAACAAAAGCACTAATTTGAAAAGATGTACACATCCCCATGTTTATTGCAGCATTATTTACAATAGCCAAGAAATAGAAGCAACCCAAGTATCCATCCATAGATGAACAGGTAATGATATGTGGGGTGTGTGTGTGTGTGTGTGTGTGTGTGTGTATCCAATAGAATATCACTCAGCCATAAAAAATGAGATCACCTTGCCATTTCCAACAACATGGATGGACCCAGAAGGTATAATGCTAGGTGAAACAAGTCAGACACAGAAAGACAAATACCATAACAATTCCATGTTTTTAAAATTCCACCATATGCGGAATTTAAGAAACAAAACAAAGAAAAAAGAAGACAAATAAAAGAAATAGACTCTTAAATACAGAGAACAAACTAGTGGTTGTCAGGACAGTGGTGGGAGAGGGGTAGGGGAAAAAGGTGAGGGGGATTAAGAGTACACTTATCATGATGAGCACTAAGTAAATGAATCACTATATTGTGCACCTGAAATTAACATAAGACTGTATGTTAATTATACTTCAATTAAATATATATATTATACAAATATATACAAAAATTGCCAAAATAATTTTGAAAAATAACAGAGTTAGAGGATTTATACCCTCTGATTTCAATACTTACTTTCCCTGGTAAAAAGGATAAAAGACCCAGTGGAAGTTTAGTGACTCTACATGCAGCAAAAACATTAACTGGGAAACACAATAGAAAACTCCCAGTTCATTTATATCACTATAGTCTAAGGAATTGTATAATCAGTGAATCACCTTGATAACTTATATCTGACAATCCACACTATCAGTTAGTGTAGTAACAATATGTAAGAAAACAAAGTATGGAATATTCCTACTAAGCTTGAATTCAGCACAGCATTAAAAAAATGAAAGGATTGGGGCGCCTGGGTGGCGCAGTCGGTTAAGCGTCCGACTTCAGCCAGGTCACCATCTCGCGGTCCGTGAGTTCGAGCCCCGCGTCGGGCTCTGGGCTGATGGCTCAGAGCCTGGAGCCTGTTTCCGATTCTGTGTCTCCCTCTTTCTCTGCCCCTCCCCCGTTCATGCTCTGTCTCTCTCTGTCCCAAAAATAAATAAAAACGTTGAAAAAAAAATTAAAAAAAAAATGAAAGGATTAAAGAAGTAGAAGCAGACTATAGAGTTAGTTTCAGAAGAGAACCTGATTCAGGAATAAATAAATTTGGTAGAGTGAAGAGGAAGAAAATTTAAGCGCACATATAGAAACATGAGTTGACCATAACTCCAGAGAAAGAGTATGGAGGTAGGCATACCCCTGGGGACATGTTAAGGCCACATGATTTTAAATTTATCCCTGGAATTCCAGAATATTACTTCACTCCTGTTTCTCAAGTTCAGAAACTTCAGAGTCATACCTGATACTTACCTCTCATCATTCCCCATGACCAATCATTACCAACTCTTATCCATTCTGTCTCAAAAATTCATCTTAAAATCATCTTCCTCTCTCCATCACCATCCAATCCATTAGTCCAAGTCATCATCATCTCTTACCTGGATTAAAGTGTCTCCTTTCTGCATCTCTCATTCTCCTCTAAACACAGCCATTCTCCACACAACAGCCAGAGATCTTTGTAAATGTAAATGGGGTCACATCACTTTCCGGGTTACACCTCTAATGCCTTCTCATCACACTTGAAGTACAGGATCTTTAGCCTGCCCTCAAAGCCCTAAGTGATCTGACACAGGCCTGCCTTCTCTGATATAAGGTCTAGGAGACACAGGACTTCCTCCATCTTGCCCACCAGTCTATCCCAGTAGCTAGAACTGTGTGGCACATCCTACATGCCCAATATGGGTTCACTGAATGAACAAACACTAGTTCCTTTAACCAAGAACCAAAAAGTGTTAGCACCTGTTTCTTGAGGGAGATTGTCTTGCTGGGAAATCAGAGCCCTTTCCTGACCAAAGAATGGAATATGTTAATTAAAAATACGTGTGCTTTCCCATTGTGAATGAAAAGCCAAGAACAGGAAGGACAGAGGATGATGTGCTGTGCAACACACAAAGTGTGCAGTACATGAGCAAGGGTGGGGGTGCAAATACAGGAAGAAGTGGATTGGGGAAGGAAGGGAGTTATGTAAAAATTAAATCATGGGCAAGAAGGTGTGGAAAGACAAGGGGAAATGCACAAAAACATACAGTAAGAGCAGGAGGAAAAAAAGAAATGTAAAGATAACTGAGCATATAAGAAGTAGTGGACAGGTCTAGTAGGATCCTGGGAGGAATACTGAAGTGGTCTTTTTAGACAGTTTGCGAAGAAGCCTGTGGGGCTTCAGCAACATGCTTATAACAGCAAACAGTCAGGTGGGCGGGACAGCGGAACTGGGCTGAGCCACTGCAGGACCATTGCCAGAGGACGGAGGTACATCAGGACAAGGGAAAGACAAAATGAAATGCAGACCTCACCCTACTGGCTAGTAAGCCATTGACAACTTCTCATGTGGAGAGAAATTAATCATTTAAATAATACTTGTCCACATAAACTGACTTGTAGACAGAGTCGGCTAAGAGGTTGATCATTAGTCGTGAGTATGTAAAGCTCTGATTTTTGTGGATGGAGAGGAACACATTCTTTTCAGATACTTCCTTTATGCTGCTAACAGTTTAAAAACTGAAGCAGCTTTTAGTTGTCTCTGGTGGTGTCAGCATTAGCCACCCTCACAGCAGATCCCTAAGCACTTGGGTAGTTAGCGGCAGGATGGCACTGGGGAACACCCAAAAGCTGCTGGTTGAGGAGACAGTTTCCCCTCTTTGTTGAACTTGGATAAATGTCGTTGTCTCATGGTACCTGACCTGCATGCTGTGCCCCCACACTGGTCTGGGAAGATTTTGTCTCCTCTTGGCTCAGTGGCCATTTCTTCAATTCTCTTCTGTGCCTTCTGCTGTTCTGGTGGGCACGCGTGCACACGCACACGTCCCTCTATCTCGTTCTCTCTCTCTACCTCTTCTCCATCTGGATTTCTCTTTGGCCTCTCCCTGTTCCCTTTGCTTTTTAACTTGGGCTCTAAAGATAATTCTTGGTTCAGAAAACTGAACTGTCACTCAAGGACCGTCAGAAAGCCCAGAAGCAGACCCTGGTTTCTCTACCTGTTCCCTTCGAGCTCACACACGTAGGTTACCACTGGGGACCAGTCAAAGGCCCCTGGTTCCTTCTTTAGCCATTTCTGCAGCTCCTGCAGGTTCTGCTCAGTGTAGTCGGTGACAATGATCTCCTTGAAGGATTCACAAGCAGAGAGGAGCTGGTAGATGGTAGGGCCAGAGCCAATGTCGATCAGGAGATCCCCCTTCACACCATCTGGTTTAGAGAAGGGAACAAGGAAAGGAGATGAGGCCTCATATGACAGTGGACAGAGCCGGTATGCACTGTTTTCACTGGGACTGTGCTAGAAAGTCGCAAAGACAAACCATCTCTCTACTCACTCCTCTTCCCTCAAAGGTTTCTTTTTTTTTTTTTTTTTTACATGATTGCATTTTCCATTATCCAATCCAAGCTGGAAGCATGTCGCTGGGATATTTTTAGGTGTAGGAGAAAAGATTGACATATGATATACAGACCTTTAATCCAGATAGACTGCTACACAGAGAATATAAAAACTATTAAGAAATACTTGGGGAAAGTTAAAATTTTGTTTTTGGTTTTGACTTTGGTTTTGGGGAGAAGGGAGTTGAACGTTCAACTAAAATAAAATTGACTTTTCATGTCTCTCTCTAAAAAGCATCCAATTCTTCACGTATTGGGAGGTCTTTATCTCATGCACATGTGCAACATTCCTTTGAGTTAGGAACAGAATAAGTATTAGAATCTCCATTTCTTAAGTGGCCCATCATGGTTCAATGGCTGGCTCTGGTCACCTAGAGAATTGATGTAGAATCAAGGACAGAACGCCTGTCTTTTGGTTTCCATTTGGCACAACCAAATGAGACAACACATAAAAAAGCACTTTGTAAATGGTAAGCTATCCCTATCAACATTAGTTTTCATCCTTGTTAAATAAATGAGTGATACCAAAAGGGCTGTCACATTGCAACGTCTAGACACCAACCCAGCAGTGCCCTGAGATTCTATTTATATGACTCACATTTCGGTGGGGAGACATAGGGATAACACACACACTTACCGAGGCAGAATATCTTGAAAAGATTTTTCAGAAGATGCCTAAGAATCTCATTTTCTGCAGAGTGTCTTGACCCAAAGTTGTAATATTTTTCTAGGTAATCCCGAGGGTTAAAATGTCTCAGATAAGTGTCCTTGGAGGTGAAGGTCGATTCCATTGTGTTTTGCTCCTGTGTCCACTCTGGCTCTCTCTTTCTCCCTCTCCTCCAGGACTCAGGGACTCACCCTGCAGAAGTTGTCTTTTTAAGTCTCAGGCTTCAATCCTTCTGTTAGTCCAACCTACCCCTTAGAGACTGTTATTTGGTTAAACACTAACTGGCAGAAACATCCAAGAATGTTCTGGCTGTTCTGGGAAGTGATGAAATTTTTGGGTAAGGGAACCTAGGAGAAGTGGGTGTGGGAAGGGGAGGGCCATGAGCTGTATGCAATTCTCGGCCAAGGGGTGAAGTTCAACTGCAGGAGAAAGCATCTGGGCTCATCGGGGAAATCATTTGACTCAGAGAAGAACCACTAAGGCTAGAGAGGTGTGTCATGTCCCCAGAGCACCATCAGTTCTTCTTGTAATGATTTTCCCAAAAAAGAGCCACAAAGAATGGTTTGAATTAAACAGTCTTAAAGAAAGCAAAGAGGGGAAAGAGGAGGATTAGGAAATGTCTTTAAGGGCTAAGAAATGTTGGCTAAAGAGGGAATCTCAGAGGAAATTTGGAAAGATGGTAAAAGTAATTTTAAAAATGGGATGAGGCTTCCTCCAATGTCTAGGCAAGCCACAGTCCTGTGATCCTCTCCTCATGCTCTCACATCCCTCCCTCCCCTCCCTGTACATCTGCAGAGTCCCAAAGCTACCAGTTTTCAGCAGCTGGCAACTACTTCCTCCCTAAGCCTCCCCACTCATTTCAATCCATTGAAATCCTGATGTTCTTTCAAAGTGAAATGAAATGTATAAGAATGCCTTATATTTCCTTTTCTGAAGCTCGCATTGCCCTTAGAATTCTCTCACCCAGCCAAGCCCTTGATTTTGTCATGTCATGTATTTGTTCCTGGTTTTGTCTGTGTCAATCCTTCTCCCAAAACTAATTTTTTACATGAATGATACACTAAGCTACCAGCTCCTTTAGATCAAGGACTATGGCTCAGTTCTCTTTGTGGTCCCCTGCCTATCACATCTACATAGTAGGTTTCAAAACACTGGTTGATGAGTTGACTCTTATCATGTTGCAGCAAATGCAATCTCAATGAGTGCCCTATATTCCATGAGTGATGACTTAGTAAGGGACCTTCTGGCTACAAAGCAGAGAAACTCACTCAAAGGAGCTAAAGGAAGAAAGGAATTATTAATAGAATATAATGGAAACACACTGGGGCACCTGTGTGGCTCAGTCAGTTAAGAGTCTGACTTTGGCTCAAGTCGCGATCTCATGGTTCATGAGTTCGAGCCCCACGTCAGGCTCTGTGCTGACAGCTGAGAACCTGGAGCCTGCTTCAGGTTCTGTGTCCCCAACTCTCCCTGCCCCTCCCTTGCTTGCACTCTGTCTCTCTCACTCTCTCTCAAAAATAAACATTAAAAAAAATAATGGAAACACATTGCAGGGTATCTCACTGGGTCTCACCAACCGAAAGAATCATTAGGCAGCTAATTTCTATCTCCCTCTCTGTCTTTCTCTCCCTCCTTCTCTCTTTCTTTTTGTTCTCGTTGGAGGTATAGGGTCTTGATTCTCCACAAACTGGCTTCTTTTGCTCATCTACTACACACTGCTCCATTCTGACTGTTCCAAATGGTGGTCTCTGCGCCTGACCTTACAGAATCTTCTAACCCATCTCCTCACAGCTGGCTAACTAGGTCTGCATGGTCCAAATCCACAGACCTTAGAAAGGGAACCTGTCTGGTCCAGTATGGGTCAGTCATCGATGCTTCTCAGTAAGTGTTGGGGTAGCAAAAGAGGTATGTGTGATATTAAGACTGCCCATTATAAAGACTTAGATGGAACAGACAAGTTGTCTCAGATTATGTAACTGTTGGACCTTCAAAAGTCAGATCACAGACTGGAAGGACGTAGAATCAACACGAGGTATCCTTGTGAGTGGATCGGAGGCACGGCTGCTGCAATGCTGATTATTTCCTGCTTCCCCCAACCACCCTGGTAGTGGAGTACAACCACCAGGGAGCATCCAGAACTCAAAGTCAAAAGACACAAATTGCCATCCTGATTTGCCAACAACGGTTTGTATGACAATGGCAGTTAGAAAAACTAAGTTTTGAGATTCTGAAGCCTCAGTTTCAATAGGGATAATAATATAGGAGAAGAGAAAAATTCTCTTTTCCCATCTTGGGATCTCTGGCTGGGCCTAAGAATTAAACTGACATGAGACAGATTAATAGGAGAAATGAACGTGAATCTTAGCAATATTTTACATGGGAGACTTCACAAGAGAATGAAGACCTCAAGATGTGGCCAGAGTGAGAAGCTTTTATATATCTTTTGACAAGGAAACAATCAATTTGTGAAGAATTGACAAGACAAAGGGGTTTGGCCTAGGGGTAGTAAGTGATAAATAAGTAACTAAGAAAGTAAAGATTGGCTTAACAAGGTTTGTACAGATTTCTCAGACCCAAATTTCCTGTCTCTGGTGATAAGAATGTCTTCCTTCCTCCCGGTACAGAGAGGGTACCTTTCATATGGGACTTTCATCTCCTGCTTACAGGAAGAAAAAGGAGGATCAGAGCAACCTTCCTATACCTACTGTTTTTTCAACGCCTTTAATTCAAAATAATCAAACGCCAAAGTGACATGTTTTGGGGTTTTCTTCAATAGTATCTATTCTGTTCAGTGTTCCCTGTTCAAGGTTTTGAGAAACGTAATTCATAGTTTCCCTTACACTGAGTCCTTACCTTGGGAAATGTCCCGTTTTCCACCCCATGAGTCTGTTTAACAGGGAAATTTAAAAATAGTGGTTATGTAGCTTATATGTGGCCTTGATACGGTAGTACCCCTCGCCCCCTCGTCCCGTCATTAATTTTTTTCCTACCCTTTTCAGAAGCTGCCAAGATGGATGGTCAGAATCAAATTTTGCTACAGATAGAAACCCGCCTCCGTGTTGGCCTGCTGCCCACTGTTCCATGAATGTCTGTTACAATTATGAACGTACGAATATACAAATACACACGTGGTGAAGATGTCGTTCCAAAATCAACAGCCTCTGGAAGCTTTTCTGGAAGGAAAATCTTCTTTTCTTTTTTAGGATTAACATATACTCTATGAAAACAAACTGTGTAATCATATAAAACAAAGGCCAGGTTTTTAAATCAGACACTGAACAGTTCAAACAAAAATTTAAGTGTGTGGTTTATTTCATTATCCCAAACTGAATTTTTCCTTTTTCCTTCTAAATGGCCCACTATGGAATTTTTCTTAGAAGCAATTAAACTAAAACCTCCAAATCCTTTCCTTCGTAGTTGCTATGAAAAGAACTAGAACCCCGTATCCCGTGTCTAAGAAAGATGCATAAATGAAATGCTTCCTTCTTTATCCTGATTATTTGGAGTCTCCGGAAGTCTTAGTTTCCTTTTGGATATGAATTCAGGAGCAATTCAACATCCCAATGGTGAAATGGGACCAGTCCTTGAGTAGAGTTGCAACAGTACCCTCATGGGCATCGAAGGGCACATCTGCTGGTCCACTGGCCTTCCCACTGGAACTAGATTCCACGGTGATTCTAACAGGCTTCAGTGAGCAAAGAAACTTAAAATGCCTTGGGTATTGGCTTGGAAAGGCAATCCTCTCATGGGGGCAAAATGTAGTGAAGACAAAGTTCCAAAATCAATAGCCTCTGGAAGGAACAAAGAGCACGAAGGAAATAGAAAGGGAGGAAGAGAGGCAGGGAGAGTGGAAAGGAAGGAAGGAAGGAAGGAAAAAAGGAAGGAAGGAAGGAAGGAAGGAAGGAAGGAAGGAGAGATGAAAGGACTCAAGAAAGCACATCACTGCCATCTAGCCTGGGAACTTGGTCTACTGGTAGCTGCTCTTCCCATGAGGTCAGTTGATAAAACATTTGCTTCATTACCTCAGGTCATGACCTCATGAGAAAATAGTTCTGCAATACTAGTGTGCAAACGATCAAGGTCTGAGATGAAAAAAAGAATGAAGAACAAGTAAGGACACGAACTTGTGGGTAATTCTAATGGATGTATAAAAAATAATGTCATATGTGGTTAAAAACAAGCAAGATGGAACTAAAATACACAATATCAATAGCCTATAAATTTCAGGGGAGGGTAAATACATGGGGTTGAAGTATTCTGGATCTTTGAATCGTCCAGGAAGGGTAAGACCTTGCTGAGAGTAAGACGTTAGTTAGGCTTTGCTAAGTAGATTATGCATATTGTAATTCCAGGCAGATGATTATACACTGCCCATACTTCCCGAGCCTGAGAATTGTCTCCGGTTGTAGGAGTATGTTTGGCCCTTACATAAAGCAGGTGAGAAAAGCTGGGCAGCAGCCCTCAGGCCCTCACCCAGTGACAAAGGAGAGTTGCTGAATGATTATACCGGCTTCCTTGGTCCTGGGATGAGAATGCCCAAACAGGTTCTATGAACTCTTGCAGAGGTCCACAGCGGAAGTGAGCCCCAGTTGCCCACAGCAGGAACTGGTTCATGAATGGGGCCTGATTGCCTTCCTTTCTTTCTTTGTCTCACGTTCCCATGCCCTCACCAGGGCTTTGGGAGATCCAAAGTAAAATACCTACACTGCAATCTTAGGCACCACAAAAATAACACAATCAGATTAGTAGAGGAGAGGAAATGGAATGACAAAAGAAAAATTCAGAAGGAGGCAAGAACTAAGAGAGAGAGAGAAAAACAACAACAACAACAACATAGACTTGTCAGGACAAATATAAAGCATAAAATAAGAAGACGATGGAGAGTTAAAGATAGATAAAAACATCAGTAAAAATATGTAATACGTGAGTAGCAGGATTCCTCGACTAGACTTAATGGATGCATATAAAATATTTCACCCAACACCTACACACGTGTTTTAACAATACAAAGCACATTAGAAATTACCCTACACTAGCTTACAAAGCAAGTCTCCACATATTTCAAAGGACTGAAATGAAACGGAGTATATTTTTGACCAACGTGTTTAAGTTAAAAGTCAAAAAACCAAAAAGATAACCAGAATACCCTGATTTGTTTGTAAGTTAAGAAATGTACCAATAAAGAACCTGTGGCCCCCAAAAAGCAATCAGAGTGAAAATCATACAACAGTTTGAACTCAGTAGTAATGGAAGTACCACATATCAAAATCCGTGGGTTGAAGCCAAAAGAGTATTTAAGG